CCAGTCAGTGCGGTTCATGTCTCTTGTGCTGGTTCCTCCGCTTTCTTTGCCTTTTCACTGGAATTACGGAAGCAACTTCGGGTTACATTTGGTGATTCATTTGTGTTGACGTTTCAAGGTTTCCAGATAAATTGCAAGTTTGAGCGCGTTACTGTTAAAATCCCTAATTAAGACCTGTCTCTGACACAAAAGCTCTGTTTTGGGGATCATCGTTCCACTGCATGCTTCATCGATGTTAACCTCACAGTTCCACTTCCAATCACTCGCCTGAGAAAAAAGGAAACGCCACGTCCCTGTCCTCAGAGATTCTGTCTTGATGACTTCCCCTCTCCGTGCATGTGTGTGTCTGTGCACCTTGCGTGTGTGCACAAGTGTTGTTGGTCAGCCGGGGTCGCAGCAGAGGAAAGAATGCGGCCGTGGAAAGGAATGCAGGGCTGATTAGCGCTTCTTACCTGTAAGTGAACTGGACGTGCCGGCGTGTGATGAGCCCGAGGAAACAAGGGAACAATAGGACAGTAGAGATTCCTTTCCACGCCGCATTCCAGCGATGCTGCGGCCGGGGCCCCCCGCTCCGAGCTTTGATGAACCCTCCTCGCAGCTTCCTGGGATTGTCGCTCCTCCACAAACACAAAAACATAAAGCGGTCGGTGAGCGAGGCCCGGGGAAGAGAGAGCACGGCCCTCCTCAGGATGTCCTGTTTTGATTAGCGTTAGCATCCTAAATTCACCATAGAAATATTATTCTAACACGGAGAAGAGCTTAGCTGTGACACATCCACTTCTTTCCACTCTGCGACCTGTGGGGTCAGATACACTACAATGAGCCAGGAATCAAAGGGGTGCTCCTCACCCAGTGATCCGACAGAGGAAATCATGAGAGGAAAACAAGGCGATAAAACGATAGGGAGAGGCTTCAGGGAGAGTCAACAGGTGGAGGGTAATCAGGGCTTTCAGAGTTTTCTAAGAACTACCTGACCAAATCCGGAATGACTGTTATCAACTTGATAATATATTGGTAGCATCTCTTAAATGTGTAGCTGTTGTTTCTTTAGTTAGAGGACAGGAAGTGGCAAGAGTTGAAGATGTTTTGAGATCAGAATACTTTATTTATCTTGGGTGGAAATTAAGTTTGGGACAATTGCTCCATTTTGCAATAAATGAGAAGATATTCCTGCTCAATTGAAAGAGGGTGTCACTTTATCATAGTGTTTTAAGATACATTTCCGAGTGGGTAAAAGCTGATACATTTGTGCTTATTAGTTTGATTTATTGATTTTATTTCGAACAAGTACAATTACAAAAACAAAACATGTTGCAGTGCATTGTCATGTAAAACAAATCAAGACATAGAAATGACAAAACAAAAAATGACATTTACAACAACAACAACAACAACAGCATTATCAACATAAACAGTGCCACATCTAATGTTCGAAAAGGAGCGAGAAGAAGTATAATTTATTTAATCTCACCCCCTTGTCCCTAAATGATTTATTTATAATTTCTAATCTGCAATAATTATAATTTGTATGCACTATTATTGATATTATTAATCGGCTTTATCTGTTGATTGACATATATACATATACACATATACATACACATACATACACATATATACATATATGCACATATATGTATATATGTCAATCAACAGATAAAGCCGATTAATAATATCAATAATANTTGATAACCCGTGATGGACAGGGAGAATCGATCTCTTTTTCACACTCCGCTGCCCCAACCCGAACGGGACCAACAGCTGGGAGGGGGGAGCCACCAACTTGCAAATGCCATTGTATATCGCTGCATCATTTGTTTAATTAAATGCTGTTAACTTTTATAAGCTTCCTTGTACTCTTTTCAGTTTATCCTAGTCTCGGGGCTAAATAAATCCTAACAGTCACCATAAAAAAAGTAAGAAGGCTGCCTGTACATCTGAATTCCTGAAACCATCGTTTAAAAAACCTTCCAATGCTACACATAAAACTAGACCCACAGCTGGAGTTGAATTAGGCGACTGTAAGGAGAACGATAAAACAACACATTGTAAGGGTAGTGTCAGATGCCTATGGGGGCATCCTATCCATCCCATGGCTCATCATATTTCAGCAGGCTAATTTAACATAATTCAGCATTATCTTTTACTTAAGTGTAAAATCTCAACCTCTGTGATGAGTATCAGTCTGACACAGAGACACTGAGCCATGTCTTACTTCAGGCTCAGATGTTCCAATATTCACTGCAGCTTTAATGGATTTACAACAGCTAACATTCCCAGTGTTGAACCCAAAATCAGAGGTCCTACTGCTCCCATTTTAAAAACAATGTTGTACTTGTATGATGAGAATCTCCATGGATACTGAAGAAGTCTCTATTTTTAACCACTTGGCATTTTATAGCACCTATGCAATGTCAGGAATTGAAGAGTGTACCCTGCAGCACTTTAGGCCAAACAATAGCTGTGTGATACATAAATCTGAAACTGACAGTCTGATACAGGAGTTGCAGAACAACACGCCTCTACAGTACCTTGAAGCCCTCAGCGTTGTGGTTCCGGCTGAAGGGATAGAAAGCTCCCACCTGCATCCAGCGTCGGCATAACTCTTCAGAGGTGTCGTCAAAGAATCCACAGATGTCTGCTCCGATCTGAAACATAGCAGCGGACGGCAGCTTGACATTTAGCCAAACCCTGCAGTATATTTCTATGAATGTCCTAAATGATACATTCCGTGTATCCTAGAGGTGACATGCCATTTGAAAAATTCAAAGAAAAGGGGATGCTTTAGAGATACCTTTAGGATACTAGCTCCATTGTTCATTTAAAGTAATCTTGTTTTGTCATATTTCATCACTTGTAATTCATAAAATAACTGTTTAAAAAGGGGTCCATAGAAGTAAGATGCAATGAAATGTAAACTAAATATGTAGTATAAAATGTGAATATATAGATTGTAAATCGATTGCAGGGAGTTCACAGTAGAGTAGAACAAAATATTTGTTAGATAATAGTGAGTGCCACTCATTTTTTAAACTACCCAGGCCCCACTTATAGCAGGGTTGCCAACTCTCACGCATCTGGCGTGTGACACACGCTTTCACTCTCAATCTCACGCTCTCACGCTGCCCAAACTATTCTCATGCCAAAAACAAGAATACCGAAGACTAGAAACGGTTTTGAAAACTTTTGTCAGGTAGTGATCGTCTTCTCAATAGAACATCTTTGATAATGTCTTCTGGCCAATCAGAATCAAGTTAACGGCGTGGTGCTGTTGCAGGAAGTCCCGACGGAGAATACTTTTGCTGTAGTACATCTCTATATATACATCGATACATCGAAATAAGACCCCACGGTTTGATGATTGATAGGTGTGTGGGCTTTCTTTCATTTTGACACACAGAACAATGGGGGCTATCCACCCTTATCCACAATGTAAAGTCATTCACACAGCCTCTTCCCTCTTCTCTCTGTGAGGAGCAGCAGGTTCAGCTTTCAGAACAAAGTAACAAAAAACTAAAATGGCATTCATTTTTTTTAAATATGTCGTGTAGTAATAGATTTATTTATTTTTCTTCTCCAGAGAGTACCAGAATGTGTGTTTTATGTTAGTATTTCAAAAAATCTCCTGGGGGAGAATCCCCCAGACCCCGTGCAAGGGTTGGGGTTTCAG